CAAAACTGAACACAGCACTCACCAGTGCCAACTCTGGAGGGATAATCTTTGCCCTGCTGGCATGTGCTCCTCCTGTATATTGCTGATACAGGCCAGGATGCCATTGTACTTCTTGGCCACCTGGACATATTCTGCCTCATGTTCAGCCACCGTCAACCAGCATCCTTGGATCCTTTTCTGCTGGGCAGTTTTCCTGCCCCCAGCCTGTAGCACTATATGGGCTTGTTGTGGCCAAAGCACAGGACTCAGCACTTGGTCTAGCTGAACGTTATACAATTGGCCTCAGCCTATCTATCTAGCCTCTCCAGAATACATCCAAAATTCATCCAAAGGGAAGTAGCTGCAGTGACGTTATTCCTTGCAAGTCCAACCTCACAGAAAAGACATTTTGGACTTGGTTCAATGGCTACTGCACTCAGTGGAGTCTTCTCAGTGGATATTAAGCTTTTCTAAGCAAATTTGATGGTGGATAACTTGGCTGCACCACAACAACTGTTACTTTCTGTGCAACAGTGGTCCTACCTGTACTCAAGGAATGAGGAACAGTGCAACAGTAAAAATGTTAGAGGTGGAAACATGCATTTTGCCTTTGCTGTTGAAAGATACTTTATGAAAAGGATGGATTTTGTTTGAAGATGTGCAAAAGTTCAGTGTCAGACCCATTATAACCTAGGTGAAATGTAGAGCCAAATTCATACACATCACAGTTACACAGTTTTCCAAGTACTTGGAAATCCAGGATGGATTTTGCACTGATCATCATTCTCGCTTCATCATTTCCATTGCTGCTAGAGAAAGACATGAGTACAACTGAAAGTGTTTGCTCTTGCCACACTTTTCTCTGCTCACTAATCCAGGGGTACATAATAGTCACTGGACAGTTAACAGTGCGTAAGTCTACAGAACAGCTAGACCTCAAACTTGCTTTCATTTGTCAATCTGAAGGAACAATGCTTTTTTAAGCTAGGCCACAGAGTCCATGTTGTCTCTCAGGTCTTTGTTGCCGATCACAGTGAGAAGTATCTTTGTTAACAAAATCAGATTGTTTCATTGAGGCTTTGAGAGAAAGTTTCAGGGGTGCACTTGCTAAACACTGAATTGAACAAGCAGGATTTGGTGCTTTCAAAATACTAAAATATTTTCTGCTTTCAGCTGTACACTGCTCAGTTGTAAGTAGTGTGGACTGTTGATATTTTACAGGACTACATTAGTGCTACAGCGCTTCTGTGAAGAGCATGGCAGAATATGTCCTTTATGGAATGCGTAAGGAAGACGCAGGGTAAAAAAGATGAAGCATAGCACTGCTAAGTTATTTGACTTCTCTGGAGCTGGAGGTACTCAGCAACTTTACAGATACATTAATGAACTGTAGAAAGATCACTTCTCTTTCAGACATGGTCCTTAGAAGGAAGAACCTTTCTCAGCAAGAAGAAGCAGTCCTGTACATTTCTGTGCCATTCTTTGATGATCCTACACCCTGCAAATGAGAACAACCAAATCAGGCCTATGTTCCTGAGGACTGGAATTCAGGACAGGGAAGCACCAGCACAGGGGGTGGGTGGCTTGATCAGGGATTCATGATAAGGATTTAACATATCTGCAGAGTTATCAAAAGAATCACAATGGGCTGGTGAAAAAAGAGTGACAAATAGGTCAGTCTCAGGAAGCTTAATTAAGACTTTGGCATGTAGGTAATAGGAGAAGTTCTTATGTACAAGACCTTGGAAAGATTGATCAGGTTTCTTGCACCATCTGTTCTGGTCCCTTTTCACCTGCTTCTCCTTTGGTGCTCTTTTTGTGTCTCTGTGACCCTTCAGCCACACTGTCCAAGAGCAGGGCTCATGTAGATCCTGTTTAGTAGGTGCTGGGGAAAAAATTACAAAAATAGAAGCAGTGGTGCCTTTAGCATTACATTCAGATCAAGGATTGAGCCCCCACACTGTTATTTAGTCAACTCTGCTGTCAATGGATGAATCGTTTTGCTTTGTGAATGAGGCAGGCCCTTGGGAGGCTCTTAATGCTGATAATAGTCTTCCACATGAAAAGGTGAGGAAACCCACAAACGCTGTCCCAGCCAGCTGAAGGAGTTTCTCCAGCAAACAGGTTTTGCTGCTTTGCTCTGGCTTGCCGTGATGACAGCTGCAGCTGAAGGCGTGCCACACTTGGCAAGGAAAGCATCCTAAAGACTAACCATGAACTTAGAAGGAGCTGCAGCCTTGTGGAGAAAATGTGATAGACAAGCATGACATTTTTCTGAATGGAGTAGTGCATTACTTATCCAGAAACAAATGCATTATTTTTTTATTCCTACTCCCCTCTAAGCCCGTCTCTCAGGAAAGCATTTTTGGTGCTGCTTGTTATTGATAGGAATTGTAATTGTGGTTCATTGAAAGTAAAGCCTGCTTATTCAGCAGCAGAGCTGCTACTGATTTCAGAAAACCCAAAATATAAGCACAAAACCCCTGAGACATTAAGGGGGAAGGCACTTGCTACACGTAAATGACTGAATTTATGTAAAATTTGGGATCCTAGAATTGTGGAGGTGGAAAATTAGCATGAAGGTTTTGTTTTGTTCCTACTGTGTATCCCTATTTATTTCTAAATTATTTCTTACAGAGCTAAAATCACAGACAAACAGCATAAGCTTACATAAGTTGAAAACAGTGATTTTGTTGAGGTGAGAGGTTCTTTTTCCCTTGAAGACATCATCCAGAGACTGTGTGAAGTTACAAATGAGCATAGCTGGAGAAATTACTCACTAGTTTAAGAATACACGACATTGCCAAACTACCTCACAGGCTTGCAGAGCTTGCCAGGATTTGTGATCCTTTCATCTGTAATATATGCCCTCTTGTTTCCTGAAGAGACACTCAATTAAAAACAGGCCTTCCTAAGTAAAAGGAGCCATATGCAAGTTTGTATCAGAGGTGGAAGTCAACCCCTTTCCCACATGGTGAACGACTTGATTCATATCTTGCCTGTAAGATGCCATTGTTTTCTGCATGCTTTCTTTCTCTTTCTCTCTTTCCTTCTTCTTGCTTCATTTCAGCCTTTTTATCAAGCAGAAAGTAAATTCAGTATTTGAGTTAACATGGAAGTTTTGTACACCAGAAATCAAAAATCAGAGAAAATGCACTCACCTATTCCCATTCCTTCCAGTTTGCTGGTCTGTTTTTGTTGTCTGTCCTGGTCCTTTTGTCATCTTGATGACCTTCTTAGCAATATAAGTGAAGAAATCAAAACAGTGGGGCAAAGAGGCTGAACTTTAACTCCACTGTTAGCAGGAGTCCCCTCACAAGATAGCAGAGAAGGTGATTAGCATTGGTGTAATTTTGGGTGCTCTGTTGTGTGGGTGGGACTGCAGCTCCTCCTGAGTTTACTTCAGCATCTTACTTTGTGAAAGAGAAATATACAGGTGATTCTGGATTGATGGCTAGTAGGGCCTGTGGGACTGCAGCAGGCCTTTGTGGGGACTTCAGTACTACTCTGCCTTTGTGGGTGAATTTACACTTGGATTTCTGCTGTTATTGACCTCAGTTGTTTACCAATGCTAAGCATTTGGCTTAAGAAATTCTAGTAATAAGATAAGCCCTAGTATTGTCCATTAGCTAAAATCTTGAATTAGAAACTTAAACAATGATGGACAAACCTTTAATACACAGTGCTTTTACGTATGGAAAGGTAGGTCTTTAAAAAAACAAAGCAATGCTTCCCCTTCAGATGGTGATGGAGTAATAGCCTAGTAGGTTTGTACAGGGTGGAGAGACTAAAAACACAGAGGATTTAAAATATTCTGAGCTTCTTTTGCAAGTATGAGAAAGCAGAGCTCAACTGCTTTCACATTTTTTTAATGTAGAAGCTGCTAAAACACTGCTTCTCCTTAAAAAACACATAAAAGTCAGGTTTCATCTGCTGTAAGATCAGTTTGAAATCCATGCTATGCAAAATGCAGATTTTTTTACACCTGTCTTTTAATGTTTTAGGATTCAGGTTTTAGTTTTTATACAACTGATTAGAATGTCTGATTAGAACAATTATTTTTTATTATTAACAGAAGTAAATATTGCATTGTATTCTTACTTGAGAATCTTGAACTTTAAGAAAATTTTCAGTAGTATCACCCTTAGCATCACGTCCCAAGAGGACTGTTAATATAGTGATGGGTATATTATTCCCTTGAAAAAAATCAGCATGGAAGTACTAATAATCAGTAATGGTAATAGAATTTTAAACATAGATATGTGTGATGCAAGTTAGTGTGAATCAATTTACCTAAGATTACCCTGGGAAGGCAATCCATTGCTAACTACCTGGAGTTCTGTGAGAACAGAATTCCAACAAGATTTTTTTTCCTTCTTTACAGCAAAATGCACCCATCAGCCTTCCTGAGCTGTCGGTCTGCCAAATTCGTGTTCCAGTGTACAGACACTGCTGTAGGACACCCACTTCCCACCACTCTACACCTGTGTATCATCCCACTTTTTTGCTTTCTGTTCCTTCAATGCATCCTCACCTCTGGTGCCTGCTTTCTGAGGGAGCCATATCACAGAAGGCCCTTTTAGTCCTGAGGAATCTTCCGTAAGTTCCTAATCAAAACTCCCCTTTATCACTTTCATGTGCAAGGAGCCAAAATAGAAAATGTAGTTGAGGTAGCCAGATCTCTGCTCCCCAGTGGAGTTTGTTCATTCTTTTCATGCGATAAAGGAAAGGGTTCATGGTAGACTGCTACCAATTTTTATTGCTCCTGGGACTTGTCTGGCTCATCTCCTCTGCATCATAACAAAGAGCCTCTTGCTACTGTTCTGTTCAAAATCAGGAAGAATTTTGTCTGCATTAAAGTAGCTAAGCCATGTCCCAACTTAAAACATGAAGAAGGGCTACTCTTTAAATGTTGCTATTTTTCGTTGCCCTTTGGTCATCAAACGGATGTACAGTGGCAAAACTCTGATTCTGGACAGAGAAAAAGATAGCTGCAGTGAATTTCCAGCACCCAGACATGCTTCACTCTGAATTAGATATTTGTAGGCTCTGAACTGCAGGAAAGTGCTGTGGAAGATTAAGCCTTCTGTAATGCAGTTTAAAATACAGCGTAGATCACATTGAAGCTACCTCATGTTTTTGCTAGTTACTGTATGATTTCAAAGTTATCATGTTATCAGATTATTAAGCATGAGTCATCTTATCAGATCTTGCCAGTCTGAATTAAGAACTTACATAATCTATAAAATGTCATTTAGAAAGCAAGAGCAGACTGTCAGCCAGGATCCTGCTGTCTCACTGAGCAGACAAGGTACTCTTCAGAAAACAGGGGACATAATAATGCATTTTCTGTGCTTTCTACAGCATGAGTCCCTCCCTGCCTGCCAAAGTGCCATTGGCAACTTCTGTTGCAGTTGGCAAAATGAAGACACAGTGCTTCTGAGTAACTGCACAAACAATCTTGGCCATGACAGTCAGACTGTGGCAGATCTTATCTCATTTCCCTAAGGGAAAAGCGGTCCTTCAGCCAAAGAGGCTTTCTGTCTTCCCAAGACACAGTCCTGGTTGTGTAGCAACTGAGCAGCTCTGTGACACCACACAGGGCTTAGACAGATGCAGCTTCTTGTATTGCTGACTTTACCTCTCCCTCCTTTCCCCTGTTCATTTTCCAGATTGTCTTCTTTGCCATGCTATGAGTATGGTGCTCCTCTTCCTGTGTTTTAGTGTTTCTGCTGTGACAGGGTACGTTGTCAGTACATATCTTTGAATACATCTCTTAGGAGAAATATGGATGCCTCAGGGGTTTTGACCTGTTAAGAGTGATTTTTAAAAGCTTTTAAAAAAATAACAAAGTATAGCAAAAAAGACATTTTAGATATTTAAAAGTTGTATGTTTGATAAAGAAGGTCTTCTCCAGTGCCTAAAAGACTTCCAAATTGGCGACCTTCTGCATTTATTATACTTAATAGATGCACTCTGTGTGCATGTCATGCAAGGAGACATTGTGTTGCAGGTGATGCTCTGAGATCTCAGTTTGCATGTGGGCTGGAACTCAAGGTATTGTAGCTGTTCTCTCTGCATGCACTTTGGCTTGAGTGACTGCAAAAACAAGCTTGAATTTTACACAATTTTATTTCCTAATGATGTGCTTTATTCCCTCCGTGCTTAATTTCAAATTAATATTTTCATGTTGAAAAAATACCTAGAAAACTGCAAAGTTTCTAGAAATTCCCATGCTGGCTCAATTCTTGACCTCACCAAAGACTCACAGTAGGTGGGGTGGAAAAACGCAGGAGGAGCCTTGTGGGGAAAATCATAGGCAGTACTTGCCTATTTTATTTCCAGTTTTGGTTTCCACAGACCAACCCTGGTGAATGGTTCTGGGTGGGCAGGGATGTGCAAGCTGCAAAATCATTGAAATACAGCCTGCTCACCTCCCTTGGCACAGAACAAACACAGATATCTGCAGGTAACTGGTGACAGGTGACTCTGAGGAGCAACTAGGTAGGCAGGTAGTAATTTGTGTTGATTTTAGGGAAAGCATTCCCCAGGGGCACTTAGCCACCGTGTGGCTGTCTTTTTGAGCCTTGATGCAGTTCATTTTGCATCTGAAATGCTTGTGTAGAAGAGGAGAAGTAATAAAATTAGGTGTAACATTGCCATGAATACTGCATTTCATGTGGGAAAAATGTAACGGGCTTTCCTGCCTATATGAAAACAAAACTGAAATGAGAACAACAGGAATTCCAAGACTTGGAGGTCATGTTCACAAAGCACAGCAGAGAGAGGCTTAGGGAAAGCCTCCAAACAGACCTGCAGAAATGAGAAGTTCATGGATACTTTAGTTGTCCCTCCAGCTGTCACTGGAGATAACTTCTCTGTCATTAGGTGTGTACAAAGAGACACACATACTTTGCTGTCATCTTGCACTGCAAATTTCTAAATACTTTTGGTGGAAATAGCAAAAGTTTTCTTGAACTGAATCATGATTTCGGTGTTGGAAAACAGACAATATGAAAGAAAAAAAGCAAAATGTCAAGTGTCAAAGGAAATTTATGGCTTAAGTCTTGCAGGTCCTTTAAGAGTCACTTAAGCCTTTGAGCACCTGATGACTATCAGTATAGAACAATGAAAGGTGAGTTTGTTTCCTCATTCCTTGTATTGAAAATTCAAGTTTCAAGCCTTCCTTTTGATATGTTTTAAATTCAGTTGAAAAGGAGATATTTTATTCAGTTGAGAAATGTGCATAAATTATGTAAAACTTCACAGTTTCTTCGGATCCAGTAAAAGCTGGTGCTTGATTGCCACCCTGGTGTTCCAGATTAATAGTATGTTTTAAGATTCTGTTTCATTTTCATTTCCTAGGTATGAACACACAATCACCATCTTTTGGGCTGCTTTTATATTTTGTCAGAAATTTAAGCTTCTAATCATTTTGCCTGATACTGAATTGGCTTGCTTGAAAAAGAGTGTTCTCTTTAGCTGTGTATTGCGGAGATGTTCTGAGAATGAAGAATGAGGCTGCTTAAAATCAGGTGTAGTTTTGAGACATGTTTTGAAGTGCATGAGGTAAGAGTAAAATGGGTTTAGCTGAGTGTACAGAAGTTTAATTTTCCCATGCAAATGTGGTCATGCTTTGGGAGTGCTGAAGAGTGGGGTTTTGCTCTGTCTCTCTGCAGGTGAGACGTAAATATGAGCTTGGCAACACACAACCATCAGTGCCAGGATCCTGTGATCTGAACCGTGTCTTCAGCTGACTTCCCAGGGGCCAGGCGCTGTTGATCCTGTACCATGGAGGACTGCCTTCACACCTCCTCTGAAAATCTCTCCAAGCTGGTGAGCTGGGCCCACAGCCATGGGACCATCTGCAGCCTCATCCCCAACCTCAAGCACCTGCTTTCTGAGGGGGCCCATGGCAACCTGACAGCCATGTGGGGCTGTAGTGCTGGCCATGCCTACCACTGGCCCCTGGCCGCCACTTGCCGGGCCGGCTCCCAGGAGCGTGTCTGCTTCCAGGACAGCCGCAGCTTCAACTCAGACAGCCCCAGCATGCTGGGGGTGCCATCAGAGGCCCAGGCCAGCCCCCTGGAGCGCTACCCAGGCCGGCCAGGGAAGGCCAAGCTGGATTGCACCCGCACTCGTGACTCCTGCGACTTCTCCTACTGCAGTGAGCCGTCAGAGCTGGGTGAGCCTGTGGAGGAGTATGAGGATGAGGCCACCCTCTTCGACATGGTCTGTGAGTCCTCTGTCACCGACGAGGACAGTGACTTCGAGCCACACCCACACCGTGCTCCCTCCGGCCCCCGCAAGCGGCCGGCTGCCGCTGCCCAGGCCCAGGCGCAGTCCGTCGATGAGGGCGGTGGTGATGTGCTCCTCAAGAAGATCAAGCAGGAGCTCCCTGAGGACTACTATATAGTGGCCAACNGCCCCGCATGGCCACGCAGCGGCCACCCCGGGGACCCCTGGCCTCCCCGGCACGGGGGGCAGGCGGTGGCCCTGTGGCTGCCCTGCAGGTGCCAGCCAGCAGCTCCAACGCCATCACCACCGCTGGGAAACCCATCAGCATCCCCCTCTCAGCCTTGCAGCTGCCTGGTCAGGAGGAGCCACCGGCTGCTGAGGAGACCCTCCCGTCCATCCCACAGCTGACCCCGGGTAGTGAGGTGGCCGGCTCGCCCTCGGTGAGCGCCGAGCCTGAGGTCAGCTCCAGCCAGCAGCAGCCCCACGCTGCTCCCACCACCACCCCTGAGGCAGCGGCGCAACTGATGCCAGGTAGGACACTGGGCGGGAGCGGAGGGGTGGTGGCATTTTGGGGGTGGCCCCCAGACCTGGTTCAGTGAGGGTACAGCCAGGGTGTATGTGCTGCGTTGCATCAGGGCCCTGCTGGCACATAAGTCACTAGGTATAGAAGTCACCTGAGAGGATTCAGAAAATCTCAGCTAAATACACATGAGAAAGTGTACTGCAGCCATAGGCAAAGTGGTTTTTAAGGTCTATTTTGGGTACAGCTGTGTCATGGAAGAGAGCATGCAGCGACCTTGCTGCGTGCATGGGTCAGGGAGGACATGAACTGGGCCTTTCACTTTCTTGATGAACCAGAAAGAAGCGGTCTTAGCCAGTGCAGCCTAGAGTTGGGGAGTTTGGTGTTGCCTTCTCCGTGTCAGATGCGTATTGTCAGATCTGGAAAGGCAAAAGGAGAGTACCAGCAGAGAGATTGTTGCTTCTGTAAATCGTTACCTGTAAATCAGAGCAGTCTGTGGACACAAGAAATATAAGTACAACCTTAACCATGAAACTGGTAAGACTTCAAACCATGATAAAATTATTTTTTTTTCCATTTTCCCAGTGAAAGTTCTGATATACCATGTCCTTAATTTTTCTCATCTACTGCCAAAGCACATGGAATTGGCACAAACAGATCAACATTACCGTATAAAGAACATGTTAAGCCAGCTGATTTATGCTGAGTGATTATCCCTTGTGCAGAATAACTGCTAGCCATAGGTCTTTAAAAGGACATGTAAATCTGTTTATTGAGCAGACTTGTCAGCTTCCTCTGGACCTGAGTACAGACAATTCTCACTTTTCCAGCTTCTTCTCTAGTGGTGCCATCCCAGGAGGAGATGAGGCAAGAGCAAGTTCTCCATCTGCTCCCTTGCCGATTCAGCCTTGGATTACCTGGTCAGGCAGAATACAAACAAACAGTGCAAGGGCAAAAACTGCCTATATGCAGCTCCTGTGGTGGGTACTGTAAGAGCTAAAACCCATTATTTTAACTTCAGCATCCTGAAATCTGATTGAACACTACTAAATCTATCAACTGGCAAGAGTCTGTTCTTCTAGCCAGTTAAAAAAACCAGACAAAGTTAAATATAGAGTTTTATTAAGAAAATTTATTTAGAAAAGCCCTACAAAGCATTAGAAATTTGAAAATATGATAATTGTGTTAGTTACAACAAAAAAAAATTATTCTTTGGGACCAATTTCTTGCATGACTTCATCTCTGAGATGTTATTTTGCAGTAGTCCTGTCATGTAACATTCCTCGTGGAAATTCCCTTGCAAGACTCCATCTGGTCTATAACCAGCTCTGCTCTGCTAAATATGAGAAATGTGGGATATCTGATGGCAGTCAACCCAAATTGTGTGTTAAATGTCCTTATTCTGCCTTCCTCAGTTTTTAACCTATCACTGCTGTATGTAGACCTGGATTCTACCAACCTGCCTCTGCAACTTGCTCAGTCTCAAACTTGCAGTCTGGGACAATGGGAGACAAACCTAAGCAGAATGTTTCCATGTTAGGTGTGTGTTATCTGGAGGACTGCATTACTTTCAACAGATCTATTAAAAAAAAAATCCAAGCTCCTTTCAACTGTTTTTGCCAGGTCCTCAGAAGCCAGACAAGGTCAGCAGTTTTTACTGCGCAGGGTTAAACTTTATAGGAATGGACGCAGCACAGCATTTTCACATTTATATAGTTTCAAAAACAGGAGTGGTCCATGTCTAGTGTCTCGTGTCTCACTTTGAGGGCAAGTGGGATTGTACGTGGATTACACCAACTGCCTAAATCAACCCGCAGAACCTCAAAGTGCTTTTTGCATAGACAGTGAAGGGGTTCTCAGAGTGCTGTCCAAATTCCATTTCAAATGAAATTATTCCATTCCAAATTCAATTATCTTCTCAGTGGTTAAATTTCTTGTGCTGTTCCAAAAAAGCATTACACAGTTCCTCTCCTCAGACTGGTACAGTATTGTTGTCACATGCTATTATTTTACTCAGAGGTTGTGGTGTTTTAATGAGGATACAAGTGATTGACATCTGACTAAAACTTGATACACGAGTAAAGTCCCCCATTTCCATAGAGCCTTCTCCTTTGGGAAAGAAGTGCTGGCATTATTAAATCTTCAAGTTGTAAAAAGGTGAGCAATGTTGGAAATTGAATTTTTTGTATATTCTTACAGGAAAAATATGGAGGTTTGATTAAATACTGGATTAGGGTAGTTGCCTATGTACAGTGATTTTGTCATACTGTCTCCTAACAAAGAATGATGTACTGGAAGTGGTGCATGATATATAAAATTTGAGCAATATTGAACTACAAGAGGATATTTATCTATCCTGTGTAAAAATTTTTCTGTCCTAGACAGGCAGATGTGAATCTTTTACATTCTGATGTTAAAAAAGGCAGGAACTAATTATATCAAAAAGCCTAGAGCTTTTATTAATTTACAGACTCAGTGCCTGCTTGACTAAACAAAGGTTTAGTTGAAAGTGAGCAGGAGATTTAAATTCTGCCTTGCCTCTGATATCTGAAGGCTTGCTCCTGGTCCCATTAGAACTGGTGGTGTAAGGTCTAAGGTCTACTGAACTAAGGCCTTATTTAAGTTATGATTAAAGGCTGCAATCCAACTAGCAAGAAATACTACTTGAGCTTCAGCTGAAGTGACATAGCCTTGCATTTGTACCAGACACAGCTGATAGTTTCCATGCGTGGTAATCCAATAGATCATGAAAGTCTGAGTGAGATTATCCATGAAATCAGAAATCCTGATGATATATGTTAGTTTAGGCCAGTTTAAGCCACTTGAAGCTTTTGGACTAGTCTCTCTTTCAAACATGCCTTTTTTTTTCCTCACTTACTCTCTTTGATTAAGCTGTGGCAACTGAATGTGTAAGCAGGGACCTTACAAAGATATTTTCATGTCTCAAAAGAGAAGTGACATCCTGATGAAAATTCAGTTAGGTTTAACACTGATTTTTGTGTTTAGGTGTCCATCTAAGCACTGTGGAATATACTGAATTATTTTTTGTTAAATTTCAGCACTAATGAGTGGGCATTCATCTGTGAGTTTTCAGATTTTACTCTGCCTTTCTAATAGCAAAACCTTCAGGAATGCATGTAGGTATTATTTAGTCCTTTTTTGATTCTGGAAAAACTGAGAGGACCTGCATGTGTTAGGAGAATTTTTGTGTTGGTGGAGAGCAGGGAATTTCTGCAATTTCTACTTCTCAAACCACCTCTTCTGCCCTATGTTTCTGCTAACACTTGGGCTGGTTTTAATGTTCAAGAACCAGCAAAGGCAAGGTAGATCACGTCACGGAGATGAAAGATGAGTAAGAAACATGATGCTTTAGGTTGTACTACATGCAGCCTTGAGCAATTAGTGACATTTGGATGTCTGAAACCAGGAATGGAAACAATCTGGTGTTACTGCAGAAGGCAGTGGAGGGAGACTGTGGCTCAGAGAAGGACAGAGCTTATTTTGAACGAATACAAGTTTTGATTTTGAGAGCTGTAGGATTTACTTTGTAAAGAGAATTGTTGAAGAATTTATGAAGAATACTCAATTTCCACTTGAATACTGAGGCTGAAGATGTGTTTTGTATTAACAAGACAGTACAGCAGGACATTTCTGATTCAACATTAGTGCATCACTATAAATTGAGGAACAGAGTCCTGTGATAAAAAAAAAGATATCCAACCCCTGTGTACAAACTGTGGAGAATGCAGAGTTGAAAGTAGACATGCAAAATAAAAAATCATCTGAATGTATTGACGGGTTGTTGCTTCTGTCAGAGAAGTGGCAGATTACAGCGCCTTCATGTGTATCCATCACTGAACTCGCCTGACTCCTTGTTTTACATGTACAGGCATTTTCAGAGTTTGGAAGGGAAAGAGTTTGTCCACAAGCATCTCTCTTCACATAGCCAGAAGTCAATGCTCATTGTCCTGGCATTGTGGTTATCAAACAGAACCTGTATTTGAATGTGCTGTGTGTAATGGATGCTGGTCTGTGCTGGAGGAAGTGCTTAGCCTTCCTGGCTCTGAGATCCTCTCAGTTCTTTTACTTTCTGTAACTGGTATGTCAGGATTACAGATCAGTGCCAGGTAGTCAGTTTAGCCTTATAAGTCAGGCGAAGATGTAGTTCTGTTCCTGTGCTCTTGTAACTGGGAAGTGTAAGCAGGATTGCAGCCTTTCACAATTGGCACCTAACATGGGTTGACTCTTACTCTGCTCTCAGTGTGCACATCCCTGTAGGTTACAGGTGTTCATATAAGTCTCTGTCTGAGCATGACCATCATAAAATGGAGTGCATCTGAGGCTTGTTGATATAGAGCTCTTAGTGGAATATTTTAAGTATTTCTCTGCAATCAGAAGAAGTAGAATCTCTCCCTTCCCCCCTTCTTTCTCTCTGCAATGGTGTGAGTTTAAATTAAATAGGAACCAAGATCCTCATATAAGATTCATGGATTAGGAGCTGTTGGATGAGCATCAAAACATTACAAAACATCGAGGTGAAAGGAGTCTCTTCACGCCTTATGAATTAACAGTTTTGACTAGATTTAGCTCTAACTTCTAAATCACTGTTTATGTATAAAAAAAGGTGTCAGCCTCACACATTCCGAAGAAGTGCAAACAAGAAAAAATAACGCCTTTTTTAGGGGTGTATATAAAGCATAAAGGCAAAATCAATCCTTGTTGTCATTATTTCAAGCCCAGCGGAACCGTGCCAGGAATGAAAGTAGCACAAGAAATATAATCATGTCAAAAGAAAGTTACAGAACTCTTATTTAAATAAACTTCCAAGAACACTCAAATAACTGTTGATCAGTCTCTGTATTTGTAGTTTACATACAAAGGCGGATGAGTTTTGGCTAAAGTGGCTGCTTGAAGCCTGTCTCCAGGGACATGTACTGTTGAATGTGGTCAAGTGAACACTAAAATGTATGTAGGGGTGAGGCAGTCTCTTCTCTTTTTGTTGTACTGAAGA